CGTTCGTATCCAAAAAACTCAGAGAACAATTTTTCTCTAGTTCGAACGTAAACTTAAGTCGAGTGTGGAAACCATTGAACACACGAAGCATATCCTCAATTTTTCCTTTCGGAATAATTGAAAAAATATCATCGACGTACCTAAAATAACAATAGGGTTCGAAATCCAATTGACGCAAACAGTATGATTCCAAATCGTCCATAACAATGTCAGAAAGAATCGGAGACAATGGAGACCCCATCGGAGAACCGAAAACCTGTTCGTAAAATTTTCCGTCAAAAACGAAGCTCGTTGAGCGCATAACCGTGTCAATGGCGTGTAAAAACTGCGCAAGGCTAAACGAAGTAAATTGTGAGATGTCATCCCATCGGTTTTCTATTGCTATTTTAATTAATTCCCAAGGGGTGTTAGTAAAAAGTGATTTGATTGAACTTTTTATAGATGTACTTAAAAAGGGCTGCAATGACAGCTGAAACGTTGTTGTATTTCAAATAATTATTTATAATAAATTATTGCCAGTCTGGTCGACTTTAAACATTGAGGAGTGGTTTTTTATTAATTATTACTGGCAACCTTAAGGATTATTATTTAAAATATTATTATTCGTTTTATAGAATTAATAATATTAATTAGTCAATAATAGACTATTACCTTCGATTACTTTAACGATTTTATGTTAAAACGAATTATAATAATCAAATCACCCGGTATCTAACGCGAATAATTGATAAAAAACCGATTAATAGTGAAAAGTACTTTTAGCGGCACTCTTCATGGTCCGCGCTTTGTAGTAGCGCTATCGCGATTTTCGAAGTTCGAGCTGGGCTCTCTTCGTGGTCCGCGCTTTTTAGTTGCGCGCTTGTGTCGCGATATCTTCGATGTCGAGAGGTGGTCTCTCTTCGTGGTCCGCGCTTTTTGGTTAAGCGCTTGTTCAGAGAAGGATTCTCTTCATGGTCCGCGCTTTTGGTAGCGCTGTTTTCTGAGATGGTCTCTCTTCGTGGTCCGCGCTTTTGGTAGCGCTGTTTTCCGAGATGGCCTTTCTTCGTGGTCCGCGCTTTTTGATCGATCGATTTTTTGGAAAGTTTTATTATTTCCTCTGTAATTAACTGAAATTAGCTAAAATCACAATTAATTAATATGAAACGGCTAAGCAATTTCTTGCTTTCTTTTATTAGCCAACCAACGTTTATATTTTTGCGTTAATTAGGAAAAACACAAGGAAAATCGGGATTTTCTTGTATGCACTACACTTCATGCCAGACGTTACGCTTTGTTCCGTCTTCTTTTATTGGCGAGTGTATTAATTGTGCATTTATATTCCATGCAAAATTGTTGGTTATCCGTTTTATTTCGCTACGGTTTGTCCCAGGCGCTACATATCTTCACGTATTTTCAGAGATGTAACCAATAGTTATTTTAACGGATTTAATATGATCGATAAGCGTCTTATAAATTCACGAGAAAACTTTATGAACCATTAATTAACGACGGTATTATTTATTTCGGTTCGTTTCGGACTTAACTTTCGCGAACGTTTGCCGTCGGATGCGAATTTATCTTTTTCGCGATCGTTTCGGATATTTATCTTCGCACGAAACGATTTGTATTCGATGCACCACCGTTTCAGGCAAGGGTGACTAACTTTTTGTTTGTTCGTTTCGAATTTAATCTATACAAAAAACATTTAAATCCAATGCACCACCATTTCAGGCAAGGGTGACTAACTCTTTGTTTTGTTCGCTTTGAATTTAATCTACGCGAAAAAACATTTAAATAGTTTTGTGATTTTTCGATCAAAAATATTTTCGTTTCGAATTTAATCTACTTTGAAAATCCGCGATACTTATTTTTCAAGAATTATACGCGATAATAGTTTAATGATTTCTCGATCAAAAGTTTTCGTTTCGAACTCAATCTACTTTGAAAATGCGCGATACTTATTTTTAAAGAATTATACGCGATAATAGTTTAATGATTTTTCGATCAAAAATTTTCGTTTCGAACTCAATCTACTTTGAAAATACGCGATACTTATTTTTAAAGAATTATACGCGATAATAGTTTAATGATTTTTCGATCAAAAATTTTCGTTTCGAACTCAATCTACTTTGAAAATACGCGATACTTATTTTTAAAGAATTATACGCGATAATAGTTTAATGATTTCTCGATCACTTAGTTTACTGTCGCGGTATGTTACTGACGCTACATAATTTTCGCGTATTTTGTGTAACTTCTGTTTTTATTTTCGCGAACAGATTATTAATTTGACTCGTGTTTTTTATTTTGCAAGCCCTATCCTATTGACGTGTTGAACGCGGTTGCCGTTGATGTGTTCGATAACCGTACGTGACTTTAGGTAGATCTTATCGGAATATTTTGGGTTTTATCCCAAACGGAATGTTGAGTTGTTTTTCAACGGTCACTACGCTTTGTTTTAGCAATCGTGGTTTGTATCCGAAGATTTTAGATCCTATCCAAAAAGAACCGTCGAGCTATGTCTCGGCGGCTGTCACGGTCGCCACTTTAGATTTGGGTTTTACCCTCCCGTGGGTTTAGTTAAATCTTGTCCGAAGATTTGAGATTCTATCCAAAAGGAACCGTCGAGCTATGTCTCGGCGGCTGTCACGGTCGCCACTTTAGATGTTTGGATTCCCGATTTCACGAAAATCGCGGGCTAATGATCAGGCAATACTCACGGCGACGTTGCGACGAGCGCTATTTCACTGTGACCGAACGGTGTTGAGAGAATTGGCCCTCCGTCCGACTTACCAGCCAGCAGACGTCCCGCTTTCACCTTTGATGGTCGCCACTTACTTTAACCTAAATAAGTAAGAAGGTGGTGGTAGCCAAAATGTTCCTTTGTTGTAGGTACGCTCAATGATGCCGCCAGGCTCGAGTCGTCCTTGATGTGTGCCGCGCCGTCCTTTGAAGATGGCCGCCGCTGCGACGCAAGTCTGTATTGCGTCAGGTGAGTGCGAACAATGGAAATTCGCAGGAACTTGACTTATTGATTTTTCTCCTTTGATTTCAGGATACCGACGGACTATTTCTACGCCCTGGATACGGATTCACACCCGATGGAGAATCGACGTGGGAAACGGATACGTAGGTCAGTAACAGATCACTGTTTTTTAGGTTTCACTAAGAATGTTTATTCAATAGCGTCCTCAGCTTAAACTCTGTACAATGGCTACGATTTACACACGCTTGTTAACCGCACGACGGTTAATTTACCGTTTACAAACACTCGCGAAGGAATCGCTTGCAGCACATCTCATGCCGCCTATGAGTTTGCGCGTTTGATATACGGTTTTCGTATCGGTCGTGATTTTATCGCGGACTAGATTTACCGAAGCTTGTCTAGCAGTTGCACGCGAATACACTGATCGATCGAATATAACGAGACAGTATTGTCCCGGACAAGTCGCACTAGCTTACGCACACGTAGGTGCTAGAAGCCCGGACTCGGTATTAGCACGACTGTCACTCGTACTACCCCGGATCACGATATGCGTACGACTGTGTGACTGTGTCGACGCTCTCGCACATGTACGACTGTGTGGAGGGATGATCGCTCCCGACTTATATAGTCGTCCGTGCGCTTCGCGCTTGCCCTTCCTTTGGCCCGCCGGCCAATCGCGGAGCGCCGCCCCACCACTGGGCTCAGCGCGAATCGCTGCGCGGTAGTGTAGCGCGGGTTCAGCGAGAGTTCCTATTTCGCATTTTGTTGATGTAAGGTGCGCTCGACAAGAGTTCCTTTTTAACCATTTTTTGGTTATCACTTTATTATCGTGTCCTGATGCTCGGGACAGGATCGCTATCGCATAAACATGCTAAATAACTTATCAAATAAATAATAACATAAATTATTCTTGTGGGTGTTTCGTAAATAACTAAAATAGATCGTTATGATAATTTATCGCCACAAGTTCATCCACGCCTAAACGAATGTCTCGAATAATCAACTAAAATAAAAATATAAGTAAATAATTATTTACAAGTAAACAAACATAAAGTCAGTTTCTTATCATTCGGGAGGCTCGTTTATTCGATGGTAGGAATTGGCATGTCGGTTATACGCCTACTCCAGTTAAGAGAATATGTTTAATTATATATTTATATATATTTATTATTTCTTATTGCGTTCGGCTCAGCGGGCATCCGATATGGGTCGAATGTAGATTATTATTACATCCTCTATTTTGGGCGTATGTCCAAAATTGACTTAGGATGCCATTTAACTTTTTGTATATCCGTGTTTGAGTGAAGACTCAGGTTTCGATTGAGTATAGGGTTCCAGATCATCGGGAACCCGATTTAGACCTTTGTTCATTCGGATGTTCGCTGAGACGATTTTAGGGTTAGTTTTTATCTTATGTTTTTGTATTTTTATATTATATTTTATTATAACCTATAATTAAGCGTCCAAGTCATCGCTTGACTTTTCGGTAAATAAAATTGAGAAAAACTAAAAAATAACTTTGGAAAGTCATTTGCTCCGGGTTCACACTTGTATTTGACTTCTAAATGATTTTGACTAATGATCGTAGTTTCAACGTACCTTTATCGCATCTTGCGATTTTGCCTTCGTTAGTCATTTGCGCTGGAGTTCTGGTTAACGCGGTTTTTAGTTTATTTATTTATTGCAAGTGTGAATCCAATGCAATCGTCCTTTCAAGTTGCATCGTAAATAAAAATGTATGGACGCGATCGCTTAACCTAATCTTACTGATCTAATTACGCTATGTACATATTTACATTTTTCAGGTGACTGTCGTTCCTGAGGTGATGGGATCTCTCTGAGAACCTTGCTGACCATGGGTAGCTTTGCTGGTTGCATGGAGATGCTCATCGGTCGGTTATTTGGTAAGTCTATTCCTGGGTCGTTAAGGTATTTGCGATCGTTGTCATCTCACCTTCGGGATCGTTTGGGATGATATCTGTACCTGCTTCGACTGCAGCGGACTTCTGCGGATCGCGACCAGTGGTCGGTCGCAATGACAGGTGCCCGACTGCCGTCTGAGAGTCACTCCGTCCTGGGCCTCCGATGGAATCCAAGGGAGGATGTTCTCTCCCTCTCCGTCCGACCAACCTCAACGGCTTTACCGACGAAGAGATCGGTGCTCTCGCAGACAGCACGTCTCTTCGACCTACTAGGCTGGTTGGCGCCGATCATAGTACGTGCCAAGCTGCTCGTCCAATCAGCCTGGATACAACAGCTGGACTGGGACGCTCCGCTGACAAGGGACGACGCCGCCGAGTGGACCCGCTTGGAGGAGGAGCTGCCCTTGCTTGAGGAGATCAGGGTGCCACGCTGGTTCCAGAGTGACGCTGCAAACAACTCGCAACAGCTGCACGGATTCTGCGACGCCTCTGAACGAGCCTACGCTGCCGTGATCTACCTCAGGGGCGTGATCGACGGGCAGCCCGACGTGACCCTGGTAGTCGCTAAGACCAAGGTCGCACCGGTCAAGCGTGTATCGCTTCCCCGCTTGGAGCTTTGCGGGGCCACCCTCTTGGCTAAACTGGCCGAACACGTCCGGTCCTCCTTGGGCCTAGAAGGATCGGCGGTGCATCTTTGGACGAACTCCACAGTCACGCTCGGCTGGATCCGAGAACACCCTGCAAGATGGACAACATTTGTAGCCAACCGAGTCGCCGAAATCCACCGAGAGAACCAAGACGCAAAATGGCGGTACGTACCCGGCAGAGACAATCCAGCTGACTGCGCCTCCCGGGGGGTGTCGCCGAGGGAGCTGCTACGCCATCCGTTGTGGTGGCATGGGCCGACCTACCTCAGCGGTCATCCTGACACCTGGCCGAAGGATGTAGGATTCCAGGAAGAGACCAGCCTGCCAGAACAGCGACCGCAAAAATGCTACGTGGTCAGGGAAGTGCTGGAACCTGAAGAGCTTCGCCGATTCTCCAGCCTTCGCCGGTTACTACGCGTATCCTCCTGGATCTGGCGTTGGGCAACTAACCGGGTAGTCCAGGAAGCGAACTTCCACCTAGAGCTGCGAGACCTTCGTACCGGGAAATCGCTGGCGACCAGAAGCCCACTCAGGAAGTTAGCTCCCATGCTCGACGATGAGGGGGTCCTGCGGGTTGGCGGGCGGCTGAAACACGCTGTCCTGGATGCCGACCAGCGACATCTAGTCATTCTACCACCGGAATCACATCTCACCTACCTGGTGATCGATGCCGCTCACAGACGCACCCTGCATGGAGGAGTCCAGCGCCGCCCCGTCAGCGACGAGGCCGCTCCTGACCTACTGGGGCCGGAGGAGATGGACGCCGCCCTGACTCGATGGATCCGGGTAGTCCAGGAAGCGAACTTCCACCTAGAGCTGCGAGACCTTCGTACCGGCAAATCGCTGGCGACCAGAAGCCCACTCAGGAAGTTAGCTCCCATGCTCGACGATGAGGGGGTCCTGCGGGTTGGCGGGCGGCTGAAACACGCTGTCCTGGATGCCGACCAGCGACATCCAGTCATTCTACCACCGGAATCACATCTCACCTACCTGGTGATCGATGCCGCTCACAGACGCACCCTGCATGGAGGAGTCCAGTCCACCGTGGGGAACATCAGGGAGCGTTTTTGGATCCCACGCGCCCGTCAACTGGTACGAAGCCACATACATCGCTGCCTCCCTTGTGTGCGATGGCGAGCGGCCACTCCGCAACCGAAGATGGGGGATCTGCCGAGGACGCGGGTCACACTAAGTCGACCCTTCCTTCACACCGGCGTGGACCTCGCTGGCCCGGTCTGGCTCAGGACGACGAAGGGCCGCGGTCACAAAGCCCACAAGGGCTTTCTGGTAATCTTCGTATGTTTTAGCACTCGCGCCGTCCACCTGGAGGTGACCAGCGACTACTCCGCCGAAGCCTTCCTCGCTGCCTTTCGCCGGTTCGTGTCGCGTCGAGGGAGATGCACGGCCCTGTATAGCGACTGCGGCACCAATTTTGTGGGTGCGGATCGGCAACTTAGAGAGCTCTTCAGGGCGGCGAGCGGCGAAGTCCACGCCCTCGTTGGCCGCCTAGCAGACGAGGGAGTTCGGTGGGTCTTCAATCCACCGTCGGCTCCCCATTTCGGCGGCCTGTGGGAGGCGGCTGTCAAGGCCGTCAAACATCACCTGCGGCGCACCATCGGAGAGGCTAAGTTCACCTTCAAGGAGCTGTCCACGCTCCTCGCGGAGGTCGAAGCCTGCCTAAACTCAAGGCCCCTCGGGGCCTTGTCGGATGATCCAGACGACCTTGACGCCCTGACGCCGGGGCACTTCCTGGTGGGAGGGCCTCTCCTCAGCATCCCGGAGCCGTCCCTCTTGGACGCCCCTACTAACCGTCTGAACCGGTGGCGACTTCTGCAGCAGATGCGGGACCATCTCTGGCAGCGATGGACCCGCGAATACCTGCAGGGACTCACACCACGGCCCAAGTGGTGGACCTCCCGGGGAAACCTCTGCGAAGGTCAGCTGTGCCTCATCAAAGGAGAGAGCACCCCGCCGTGCCGGTGGCCGCTCGCCCGAGTTACGCGTTTACACCCAGGCGAGGATGGCCAAGTGCGCGTGGTGGACGTCCGCACCACCGTCGGCGAACTGACCCGGCCAGTGGTCAAGCTGGTCCCACTGCCGACGATAGCCGCCGTGGAGTCCGGGACCCCCGTGTAACCGCGTGTCTCGTACAACCTCGCGCTCGGCAAATACCTGTGAAATATTGTCAAATTAATTATAAAATTAGTCGTTCGTCTCACTATTATCAATTGTACTGCGTTAACTCTTCTCATACTTACCTGTCTCGCATATTTAGTCGTCTGTCGCAGCTCCACTCGCTCAGCACGTGGCACAGGGGGCCCCTAACCTCGCCTGTCAAAACTCGCGTTCGCGTTCGACCCCCGGTCCGCGGCCGCGACGATAAACCAGTCGATACACTATCCCTAGCACCCTAGGATAGTTCGTCGCGTGTACCCGACGAAGGCGGGCGGGATGTTGCGGATTGGAAAGAGAGAGAGAGAGAGAGTCTTTGTCTTCTAACTGTACAAGAAAAAATTGAAATGGTTTTATCAAAGGCAACTTGAATGGTCCAAAGTACCGAGACATTTTGGAAAATGAACTGCCAATATTACTTGAAGACTTGAGCTTAGAAATACGACAGAACATGTGGTTTCAACATGATGGTTGTCCGGCACACTATTCGGTGGGAGCACGAGAAGTTCTTGATCGTGATTTCAATGGTCGCTGGATCGGTAGAGCTGGTCCGGTAAATTGGCCTGCTAGATCACCAGATCTTACTTCACCAAATTTTTTTTTGTGGGGCTATCTCAAAGACAAAGTGTACAAAGAAGAACCAACAACACGTGAGAATATGATTGACCGAATCAGAAATGCATGTGCTGAAATTCAAGGAGATACACTCATCAGTTGTGTACGTTCATTTGAATTGCGGATTAATAAGTGCATTGAAGTCGAAGGTCATCACTTTGAGCACCTTCTTTAATTGAAAGATGATTCCCTGAGTACTCCGAATCGTGAGAGGCGAGGGGACTCACGTTAATCAAGCACCCCGAAAGGAACAGAAAACTGCTACGTCCACGTCGTTGTTCCTGAGTTATGCTAAAAGTAAGTTTCTTGAGAAGTAATTAATGAGTAATAAAAAATAATGAGAAGTTTGTTTTAAGATTAATTTCGAGTATTAACAATGAAAACGTGGTATTTTTATTGTTAATGTATTGCAAAATCGTAAGCATGGGTTCTCAGTAAGAGAAATCAAAGAAATTGAATTTCGTCGATTACAGCGCCATCTATCATGAATCGAGAAAAATGTTTCAGACAAATTGTATGTGTTTTTAGCCAAAGATTCCGAATATGCAATAAAAAATAGGGGTTCCCATTTAAGATTTAAAACTTGCCCCCCCTCCCTCACTGCCCAGGGGGCGGGGTGGGGGTCTGATTTTAACGTCATTGTATGTCCCCCTCGAAATGATAAAATTTTGATTCTTAACATTTTTTTCGTAGTGTGCTTATTTTTTGAGATATTTGAATGTCTTAAGTTAAAAGCAGCACCCTGTATATATATATATATATTTTTTTTTTTAACTTTTTAAAGCTGATTATATTGTACTTGCTCCTTTTGTCAATATTAACATTTAATCAATATATTGTAATGTTGGTTCTTGTACGAGAAATATATTTTAATTGATTTTATAATCTTCTATGAAACCATCTTACATAAAACTAATTTGTGTGAATCTTTTATCCTTATAAAAATATTTCTTAGCTGCTTTTGTGACAAAATCAAAATTAATCTATTATTTCCCAGGTGTTGAAAATATTATATAGACGCATTTCTCAAATAATTTCATATCAATTAAAGTAAAAAAAAAAGATTTTTTTAAAGTGATGTCTACTAACTATTCACTCTTAATTAATTTTCTCTAATTATAAATAAACTATAAGTTTCTAAAGTATGCAAACATATTTCTAAATTTGCCCTAATAATTCCTAAATGATAGCAGTAATAAAAAATAAAAAATAAAAATAAATAATAAAAAATATAAAATTTGTCCAATCGATGTCCACTAAGCGTACTTTAATCCCTCAGGGGCACTACAGACTCATCCCTGTAGTGTACGGGTGTCGCAATCCCGAGGTACCCGAGCTGGAGTGCGTGCGAAGGATGAATGGGGTGTGATGGGCGTGCAGGCCCTAAAAAGGACTTGTCCACTGCACTAGGTGAAGGAAAACACCGAAGATAACACCCGGGGGGGAGGCCCCGTTAGCTGAGTAAGGCAACCTCCTAAGGGGAAGGAAAACCCCCGACAGAAAAAACCAATTTCTTCTTTTTCAGACATGGATAGTTCCAAAGAAGAAGCGATCGTCCTGGGATCGGATACCAGGAACCGGCGTGGGGGGGGTGTAGGCCTGGCTCCCTCCATGTCGTCAACAGACGACAGGTCGTCTGCGGATTTGTCGACTGGGTCCGCAGACAAGTTGGCTACAGTGTCGAAACGGCTAGAGGATGAGATGGACAACTGTTTCATCAATCTGGCTGTGACCTGGGAGGACCTGGACGAGAATGTGGATCCACAGGATCTTGCATTGGACCTCCAACAATTTTTGTTGGATAAAGAGGTGCGCGAGTTTCGGTATATTGGCGGGTATTATACTCTGGCCAATTATGCCGAAAACTTTTTGAGGGACTGTGCACAGGGAAAGACACAGTTTTGTCGCTTTCACGAATGTGTCAAGACTTTTGAACACTTTGCTGCTAGTGACAGTGAAGTGAGCACGCCGAGCGAAACAGGGAGTGATTGTGCGCGGTTTCCCTGTTCGTCACTAACTGGTGGTGAGAGTAGCTGCTCTCGATCCCTTCCCTCTCCAGAGGTGCTGAGGGGTCCTAGTAGTGATGAGAATGTGGAAGTGGGTGAGCCGTCGTTTGTTTCGTTGTCATCGCCTAGCTCCCCAGAAACTAAAAAGTGCAGATCCGAAAGGGATATATCGTGGGCTCCCGAGGACAAAAGGGCGCTTACGGGACGTAAGCAATACCCGCGTAAACTTGCAGGTAAGTGCACTGCGCGTAAGAGGGGTCGCCCCATAAAAACGGGGGAGTACTCCAATCTTGCGAATGAGAGGGAGCGCCTCAATATCGCGGAAAAGGAGGCGCTCAAAATAGAATATGCGCGTAGGGTATTGGACCCTTCCTTTGGTCCAATACTCACTGCCATGGGAGCTGATAACACTCCCACGGATGCGGTGTTCTGCAGGAAACTCCAGGGTGTCACCACCATGGAGCTTCGCAGGTTGGCGGGGAAATTTGTTACCCAAGTTGAGAGGGTGGCTGGACTCCCTGGCCTTGGAGATGCCATGGCCGGGGAGCTCCGGGTATCCTCAAGGAGACTGGGTGACATAATTGGAGAGGCGGTAAATCGATCTATGGTGGATCCGGATCCGGGTATGGAGGCACTGAGGATCGAGAATCAGGGCCTGAGAGGACGTATTTCGGCCTTGGAACGAGAGGTTGATCGGCTGACCTCGGAGCTGGGATTTCTTCGTTCTGCAATCCCTCAAATTGAGGGTATGTATTTTACGGAGAGAAATGCGAACAAGGGGCCCCTCCCTATTTTTTCGGAGGGGTCCCCGCAGGGTTCGGGGGCGGCGTCGGCTACCCCTTTGGTGGAGGATCGCCCTGTTATGGCTTCGGATCTGTCGTCCCTTTTGGACCGTCGCTTTAGCGACTTGAGGGACGACATATCCGTATCTGTTATGACCACTATTAGGTCAGAGCTCGCGGAGCTGGCTGGGGCCTCTCCCCTCTCTGGGGGAGTGGCTCACAGACGTGCTCCGGCTAGTAGCGTAGGTGGTGGCACGGTTGTGCCGGTGATTCGTCCCTTGGCTGGGGGCTCCGCTGCTTCCACTAATGTGGAGGCTTTGGCGGATGCCTCTGGTCTTGGGGCCTCTGAGAGGAAGTTGGGGCGCCGTCGTGGACGAAGGTCCAGGCGGCCCCCTCGGACGGAGAGACATGTGGGAGAGGCTGTCTCTAAGGAGAAACCTCCCCGCAAGGAGAGGAAGAGTGGGGTCCCTGTTCGTCCCCCCCTTCTGCGTCGGTGATTTCACTGACGATTGGGAGGGGGGGACAGGGGAAGTCGTATGCGTCGGTCCTTTCTGAGGCTAAGGCAAAGGTCGACTTAAAGGAATTGGACATTGGTCCTATTCGAATGAGGACAGGGGTAACTGGCAGTATTTTACTGTCAGTCCCCGGTAAGGAGTCGTCTCTGAAGGCGGATGCACTTGCATGCAAACTCAGAGAGGCTTTTCCAGTAGCGGATGAAGTTCGAGTTAACCGCCCCTCTCGAACGGAAGACATTCGTCTGAGGGGATCAATGTCCCTTGCGAAGAGAGAAAAGATCCTGGAGGAGGTCGCTATAATTGGGGGATGTCGGACTGAGGACCTCAAGGCTGGCAAGATCAGGATATTGTCTAGCACGGGTATGGGGACTATGTGGATGCGCTGCCCCGCTAGAGTGGCGCGCAAGCTGCTAATTGCGAAAAGGCTCAATTTGGAGGGGGGGTGGACGACGCTAGATGTCAGTCATCTGGCGCGCCGCCCTCTCCAGTGCTATCGGTGTCACGATTTTGGCCATCCGGCTAATAATTGTGGCGCCGATGTGGATCGCAGTGGTCTTTGCTACCGATGTGGTTGCCCGGGTCATAGAGCGGCTAATTGTGTGGCGCCGCCCCGATGCCTATCGTGCGGATCGAGAGGAAAGCCGGCGGGACATCGCAGCGGATCGTTGTCTTGCGCTCGCGTGCGCGTGCCTCCCAAAAGGCGTCGGGAGAACACTCCTGTCACTGAGCGCGCGCAGGCTCCGGGGCGCCCCGATGGGGGGCCTGTGAGCCCGGAGTGGACGAGGGTAGACTGTAGCCGGGGGCGGGGGAAGTCGCGGAGAGGCGGCTCCCCCGTGCCGGGCTGCAGTTCTGCCCCCGATGTTTAGTGTCGGTTTTGTCCTTTGTTGTCGTAGTGTGTAGCGGTGGGTGCGAGGAGTTCTGGGGAGGGTGCCGAAAGGTGACTCCGTGGTCTCCCTGCCCCGCCAAGTTTATGTTGTAGGTTGCGGCGATGGGTGATGGAGCGCCGGGGAGGTTGCCGAGAGGTGACTCCGCGGCCTCTTCACCCA